CTATGACCTAAAAATATAAGTGGTTCTAGGTTTAAAATTAATAGACTAGATCCAGGTGTGTAGGTTTATGACTTTAATCCCAGCATCCAGGAGGTAGAGACAGGTGTGAGTAGGTGTGGGGAGATAACCCACTAGTAACACGATAAATAAAAAGACCCAAAGATTAGCATTGGAGTTCAAGCTTCAAGCAGAAGATCAGAAAAGCAAAGCAGCTGGCCACTAGCTCTCATCTCTACTGAAAGACAATCCTGGATCTTCAGACTGCAATCCCAGATGGTTATGCTATCCTCAGTGTGTCTGGAGAATGAATTCCAGCTCTACATCTTAATCCTGAATCCTGGGATTAAAGATGTGTGCCTGACTTCTATGGCTTGCAGCTGACTTTGCTTTCTGAATCCTCAGGCATGCTTTAATAAATCACCACAACAACCACTTTCTGTAATGTAGTGTGCTTATCTCATGGAAACATTCAATTCTACTGGGCATTTTTACCTCCTAAGCAGTAATGTCTAATTAATAATAACAATGCTAGCTTATGCAGAGTTTTGATGAATAAAAATAAATACAAGAAAATGTTACAAAGCTAGGGCCTATGAATTTCACTTAAAGAGGTGAATTAGATCACAGCTCAAGTTAATGATTAAGAAAAACAGTTGAGTCCCAGGAGCCAGGCTGACTCAAATTCCTTTTTTTTTTTTTTTTTTGAGACAGGGTTTCTCGGTGTAACAGCCCTATTAGTCCTGGAACTTTGTAGACCAGCAGGCTGGCTTTGAACTCAAAGATATCTGCCTACTTCTGCCTCCTGAGTGCTCAGAGGCACCACCACACCAGGCTCAAATTCCTTTAATCTTAATGCTTAAAGATAAAGGCCCAGGTTTTGGTGTGCATCATTAGGTGAAACAAAGCTTTAAAACACCTTCATGTTAGAGAAGATGCTTTTATTTATTTATTTATTATAACCAAGTCCATTTAAATGAAAACAAACATTTATAGACAATATTTGGGAATTTGGGTGTCATTTTTTCCAAACTACTTCTTGCTGGTAAGGGGCGCTGTCATGGGGGATTCTAAGAAGATGCAGAAATCCTGGCTGTAGTCTACAAGGCTGCTTTGTCCAGCTGTTTTGAATGTAGAATCACCTGGTACTCTGTTTCAGGAGGTCTGGCTTGATCAAACCACATTAGTGTGGAAGGAATCCACAGCTTTTCATTTTCTGTGGAAACAAAAATAGAAATCCTTTTCCCCAGTAACTTGTCATTGAACTTAAATTTTGGAGTCAAAGCATTTTTTTAATTTAATTTATTATTTTACATGTCGATCTCAGTTCCCTCTCCCTTCCTCCCTCCCTCCCTCCCTTTCTTTTACCCTCTCTGCCCTCTCACATGCACCCTAACCACCCTCCCCTCCCATCCTCCCACCCCAATGCCATCCAGTTTAACATAGTATGTACTCACTCATATATGGATTTTAGACCTAGATCAAAGGAACACCAGCCTGTAATTCACACCACCAGAGGAACTAGGATGCAAGGTGTATTCTAAGAGATCCATATAAAGTCCCTCACAGAACCAGGAAGGGACAAGTCCCCCAGAACACAGGGGAAGTGGGGGGGGGAAGCAAATGCAGAGAGAAGTAGGAGAAAACGAGGAGGAGGAAAGGAAAACACATACGACCAGGAAGATTGAGCCCAGTTGGGAATAGAAGACAGGAAAGAGAGAGAGAGAGAGAACATAAAAGAGGGAGCCAATATTGGTTTGAAGATAAAATTGAACACATAGAAAGGTCGAGAGAACTATAAGACTGCTGCCAACTAACAATTTGAGCTTCCCTGGAAAGGCTACCATAAATGCCCTTCCCGGATAGTGAGATCAACAATGGAGCCCTCATCTAATGCCTGTTGGAAACAGCACCCATACATAAACACTGAGTCGAAGTAGAACCCAGATGCAGATGGAGAGGACAAGACCAGGCGGCAGAAACACATAGAGACAGCTTACCTGAACAAGGAGGAGCTAATGGGCCCCCAGATTGATAGCTGGGAAGCCAGCATGGGACTGACTCAGGCCCCCGTGAATATGGGTCTCAGCCAGAAGGACTGAGCAGTCTAAGGGACCTCAGACAATGGAGCCAGGATGTATCCCTAGTGCACAAAATGACCTTGTGAACACATCCCCCATGGAGGGATAACTGCCTTAACCTAGAGACAGGAGAGAATCCCTAGTCCCTACTTCACATGACCTGTCAGATCTATATGACCCCAACTGGATGGCATTCCCCTACACACAGCAGATGCTTTGATAATAGCTTTAAGATGAAAAACTCCAGGAAAACGACTGGTGGTAAATTCTCTTTTACTTCATCTTTAAAGATGCTTTCTATGACTCTGTCTCTACACAACTATGTATCTCCACATAGCCATTGCTATACATCTCATTTACAAAGCTTTCTCACCATATAGCACTTTACACAGTCCCTTTACACAGCAGCAAGTCACTCACACACACACTTCACTCACATTCTGCCCAGGTCTATTTCCAGCAAATCTCTACGTAGCTCAACACAGCTTCTCACAGCCAAACTCTGAACAACTATATGTTCCATTTTCAGGGCCTGGCATATTCTCATAATACAAGATAAGTCACATAGTTTCTCTTAGGCTGAGGATGTCACATTGACTGTCCAGTGAGTGATGCTTGACCATGCACATAACAGAAAATGACATTGGAATTTAAGACTTAACAATAACAATTAATTAGCTGGACTTTGAGTAGTAGAGAGTACATGCAGTAAGTCCATTGATGCAGGGAGTTATGTCTACTAAAGTTGCTTCACACTCTGACCTTGAATCAGCGAAACAACGCCTGGGAAAATTACCTCATGTATTTGTCTCCATGGACAACCAGATATTCATCCTCCAGGGGCAATCAGCCTGCTTTGAATTTGTTCTGGGGTCTAAAATTAACTGTGTAAAAGACTGTCTTTGTAACTGAAAATTCTATGTGAGTCAAGTAATGTAAAATATCCTAGTATTATTTCCATTCATCAAAATTATACAATTAAGCAGAAATCATCTTCCTAACCATCTATACCCATATGTGTGCCCAATAAGTGTATAATGCACCACTAAATGGCTGTGGAAAGACCCCCACAGCTGTTCTTATTAGGGCAAGTAGTGACACCTGTGAAAGTTATGGACAGAAACAACCAGTCATTTACAGTCAGTAATCTCACAGTTTTGCAAGTGGGGCTTCCCAACAGGGAGTTATTCATCTGGGGGGGGTCAACTCGTTAGATACTAGTTGTCAGTGCTGTATATTCCCATAGCTTCTTGCAACCTGAAGCTCTTTGTACACTTACTGTAAGGCCCTGCATTGACCTCCGAGGCACCTTGAGCAAGTCTGAAGCTGTTGGCTGGAACATCTTGACCCAGAGTTGTTACTGGTACTCTGCCTAATTTGCTAATGCACATCTGCTGGGGAGGAACTAAGCCTGAGAACTTGCACACTTGACCCTTGATTATTTCCCACTGTGTGTGAGTCAGTGTATAAAACCACTCCTTCCTCTCAATAAATGGCATTCGGCATTCCTGTTGCATAAATGACCCGCTGTCTTGTCTTTTATTTAAATCTCTAGCCTTCGTCCGATTAGTGGAACAGATTGTAGCACAGGAGATACACACTTCCTAATGACAGCCCTGCAGGTGTCATAATCCTAAAGCTCATGTCAAAATTCCTGACCTATAGAACCCATGGCATAATTAATATGTGTTATTAAGCAACACATTTATGTTGGCATTGCTATAGAGAAATGAAAATGGCACACCTTCCATCAAAGCTAGGGACATATAACCCATGAATCAAAGTATCTGCTGTACTCCCAGAATCTCAGTTCCATTCTGTATGCCGATGTTTTCCCTAATTACAAGGATTCAGGACACAGGCATGACCTCATTCCTCCACCATTCACAGTTGGAGGTACTAAAACCAAGAAAGGACAAGTGTCCATAGGAGACAGAGCCAGTGACCTTACTAATTCAGAATTTTGGACAGAAATAGGGTTTGGGCTAATAACAATGGGGGATAATTTACAAAACATGGACCCATTAAACAACAACAACATCCACCTTGCTGTGGATGACTCCCAACATGCAGTGGAGAGGAGTCCTTCAAATTTCCTCTCAACAGAGATAATGGCGCCGGCTAAACAAGGGCAGGGGCACTTGTAAGAGTGGAAATAATATGTGAGCTTATCACCTTCCTCACATAGGGACATGCCTTCCATACACCAGGTAGCCACCAGTACTCATATCATAGCTGTGATTCTGAGAACACATCTTATGTTAAACTGGGGTCTGAGTTAGGAGTTCCACTGAAAAATGAAATCCCAAGGAAAACGTCACAAAATGTTTACTAAAGGCTTCCTCATTGCCTTTTCCCCCTTCTCCATTTCTTGAATGTTCCTACTGATGCCAACCCATAATCCAGCATAAGAGTCATCACATTAGGAGGGTGTCTATGAGACTACATTGCTTGGGGCAAATAGAGGCAGGACAAGTGATGCTGGGACTTTGGCCTCAGGAAAATCAATAATGAGAAAGACCCTTTCTCAATGTCATCATAGATAAGGGTTCAGCACTGATGAACCCTTATCAAAACAAGATGGCATCCGTGAAAGTAATCTTCCACATATGGCCAGATGATGGCATTTATTCTACATGATCTCTTGGTTAGTGGTTTTGGAAAAATTGAAAGATGTTTCTTTCCTCTTTGACATTTATCTCAAGCAGTAGAAAGCGTTGCTAGTTGCAACACTGGAAGTTGGGGTTCTGGAGAGAAACACACAAACTTATCTTTCTAAAATACAAAGCCAACAATGCTTGCTTCCACCTTGTCTTTCTCTCTTGGATCAAAAAGGCTTTAGCATCTCCTTACTCAAACCAACCAACCAAACAGGAAAAGCCTCAGAACAGTCTCACCTTGTTCTACACTCAGAGCCCAGAGTGACTGTCATATGCCCTTTATGTAAGTGATGACAGCATTTACAATTTTCGTGGAACAGGGGAAAGAGAAAGGTTGCTTATCAAACAAAATGATGCATCCGTGAAAGCCGTCTTCCACATGGTACCAGGTCACAGGGACCCCCTGGTCTTCCAAGCGCTTCTTGTAGAGCAAGGTGTCATCACGGAGGGGGTCATTCTCACAGCTCACCAGGAATGCCTGGGGAAGCTGTGCAATGGTCTTGTCATCTACTAGGAGAGGTGAAATGTCTGTATCCAAAACCTGTTTGGTTTCTAGATAGGCAGCCTCGTTGAAAGATCCTGGAGACTCAGGCAGGAGGCTTTTGCTCTTAAACCTTCTGGGGATGTTGTCAGAACTGAGCCATTTTCTGTACTTATTCCAGAAGTCCAAGGGAATACAAGTGCCACTAAATATGGCATCTTTCCAAGATAAGTCAATGTCCATGTATTTACACAGAGACATCATGATTATGTCTTTGGTGAGGAGTGGGACATTCTGGTTTTGCTGATGTGATGGCAATCGGAAATTGATGACCTGCATAGCTGGCGTAATAAGGACCTGAGCACAGATCTTGGGGAGGCTTGGGAAGCTGAGCAAGGCCTGGATGACAATGGCCAAAATACCACCTCCAATACTTTCTCCACAGACTACCACCCTGGAGGGGTCTACCCCATAGGTTCTGAGGCCCTTCATGAAGTAAATAGAGGCATTCAGGCAGTCCTTAGTAATAGACGGGTGGTGGTGGTCAGGAAGCTTGCGGTACCTAAGGAAAAATAACAAACACAACACAGTGATGTACACATGGGTCATTGGAGACCATTTGTACAGAATTCTCTGTAACGAGTACGGTTTTTCCGCCTGCTGCCCGGTCTTGTCCTGCTGCCATGCCAGCTCCAAATAATACACAGAGACTCTGTATTTGATATAATCCTGTTGGCCAGTTACTAGTTTCTTATTGGCTAGCTCTGCCTTAGTTATTAACCCATTTCTGCTGATCTATGTATTTCTCTTACCGGGGAGCCGGCGGCATACTGCTTTCTTCAGACTCTCCATCTTGACTCCTCCCTACTACTTCCTATTTCCTCCTTGTCTCCTAGTCCCTCCTATCTTCCTTTCCTATTGGCCAACAGTGCTTTATTATTAACCAGTATGAGAAACATATACAGAATGACATCTCCCATCATCTCCTCTTTTCTGTCTAAAATAACATGAAGGGTTTTAACCTTAACATAGCAAAATATATCACATAACAGTTATCAAATAATCACAGTTAACACTATTTAGTCCATTAACATTTAGCAAGATTTGAAGAAAATATTCCATCATCTATCCTATCTTTGTGTGTCTAAAGTAACTTATCTTTAATACTAAGGAAAACTATAACTATAACTATCTGTCTTCAACTCCTTCAAAGACCACAGAAGGATAATATATAAGCTCTAGAAATGACAGAGACATCTTGCCTTTTCAGTCACCCGAAGTTCTTCTGTAATCTTCCATCTTCAGCCCATAGGCCATAGTATGTCTGACAGACTCTCCAGTAAAGCAGAAAACTTTAAACTGTCTTCTTTATTGGCAGTTTGTCAGTCACTTTTTCTCCGTGTCCTGCATACTGTCTCGAAGACTCTTCCATGAAGCAGGATCTCTGTAGCAATGTCCATCTTGAATCAGGAGTCACTTTCCTGTGGGTCCTGCATGTCCAGTTTATACATCACAAAGTCAAACAGTCCAGACAAGAGCAGTATCTTGTCCAAATGGCTAGTCTTGCCATATTGGAAGCAAACTTCATAATGCATTTCTTCGATGTCCATCTTCCTTTCTGGTGCAGGTGGTATTGCCAAGAGCAATTATGTCTCACTGTCACAAAAACCCTAAACCACTTTAAATGCCATATTCTGTAGGTCTTTGAAAGGTTTGAAGAATTCCTATCTATCTCAAATACATCTCTGTGTATCTTGAAAAACCTAACTAACTTAACTCTAAGCTTTGACTATCATAGGTAATTATCAATAATCTGTACTACATTATATTTCTATATAAACACAATACCTAAACAAGAGGAGAAATACACATCTCACAAAATTGACATTAAATTGTATCAATAAATGAAAATCCATTCCAAAAGTAATCATATCAATACCATAATTCCTTTTTACCTTTAAAAATAATTGGCTGTGATCATTACCCATTTATAACCAAGTCCATTTAAATGAAAACAAACATTTATAAACAATGTTTGGGAATTTGGGCGTCGTTCTTTCCAAACTACTTCCTGCTGATAGGGGGCGCTGTCATGGGGATCCTAAGAAGATGCAGAAATCCTGGCTGTAGTCTGCAAGTCTGCCTTGTTTAAGCTGTTTTGAATGTTGGATCATCAGGAACTCTGTTTCAGGGGGTCTGGCTTGATCAAACCACATTAGTCTGGAAGGGATCCACAGCTTTTTATTTTCTGTGGAAACAAAAATAGAAATCCTTTTCCCCAGTAACTTGTCCTTAAACTTAAATGTTGGAGTCAAAGCATTTTTAAAATATATAAATTGAATTAATGCAGCAGCATTTTCTTTATCAGTTGTTATTTTCTCAGCAGTCAAACAATGTAGAGACAACACAATAGCATACAGTAACCAGATTCTCTCTGAGCTTGTCATCTTTACGTGCCTTTATTACTCTGTTTATTTTACTTTTATATTTTTATTTTTTGACATAGGGTTTCACTGTGTAACTCTTATCTGTCCTGGAATTTACTCTGTATACCAGGTTTACTTTGCAAATCACAGAGATCTGCTTGCCTCTGTCTCCATAGTGCTGGGATTAAAGGCGTGTGCTACAACACCCAGTTCCTCTTTGTCTCTTTAAAACCATTTTATTTTTCTCTCCCAAGCCTATGTATTTTTTTAAAACATACTGTAAACTTTTAGCACCTTTTCTTAATGTGAATCTATCTCTACTGTAAATCTTTATCTTTTTTTGGCCATGAGACTTTATCTGTTAAACAACAACATTGTTAAAATGAAAGTCATATCTGTGTCAGCAGCGGTTTACCAAAGATGGTGGTGGGTACTTTTACCGCCAGCATGGAAAGCTGTGTTCAAAGCCTTGGTCTGCGCTGCCACCCAGAAAGCATGCTGCCGGCTTGGAGATGTGGTCACTGCCATTGCCATCTCTCATACACACCAATAAATTGTTAGCAGAGTTATTTAAAAGCTGTGCGTTTTTTTTCCCCGCTTATTCAAAGTAAGGAATCTTCCCTTAAAGGAGCCACGCGAATATCTGCTTGTCTCTAGCAAAGAGTTCAACTGAGAAAAATGCTGCAGCAAGAAACCTTGCTTGTCTCTGTTCTTTTGTTTCTAAAACCCTTTTTTTTAAGCTTCTGTTCAATTTTAAGTGTATGTAAGTTCTTACTAGCCACGTTGGGCGCCATCTGTAATGTGTATGGTTTTTTCTGCCTGCCGCCGCCCGGTCTTGTCCTGCTGCTGCGCCAGCCCCAAATAATACACAGAGACTCTGTATTAGATATAATTCTGTTGGCCCTGTTACTTGTTTCTTATCGGCTAGCTCTGCCTTAATTATTAACCCATTTCTGCTGATCTATGTATTTCTCTTACCGGGAGCCGGCGGCATACTGCTTTCTTCAGACTCTCCATCTTGACTCCTCCCTACTACTTCCTATTTCCTCCTTGTCTCCTAGTCCCTCCTATCTTCCTTTCCTATTGGCCAACAGTGCTTTATTATTAACCAGTATGAGAAACATATACAGAATGACATCTCCCATCAATTCTCTACTCTCATAGGAAAAATAACCTGATTGAATCATCAGAATGACCCTAGCAAGTAAATATGGCTATCCTCATTTTTCCTCTATGGACACAAGGACCCTGCAACAGTCAGGGAGGTCAGAATTCTTCATTCCAACCCATATTTCGCTTTCCACAGATGAGTGAACCCCATGGAGGGTCAGGCAAGCTCAAAGCTGTTGCTTTAGGAAACAAGACAACCAGCAAAGACCCAGAGAAGGCAACTGGAGCTCTGGTGGTTCCACTGAGACAGGTTAAGGATTATGGTTCCGCTCGATATCTGGGGCATCCATTGAACATTTCCAAATCCATTGCTCTTAAAAATTTATATCAATGTCATATTAATAACATTGTTATTAACAACACCAGTTATTAAAATGTATTAATAACATAAGATCTTAATGCAAGTGTACCTTCTAATGTTTATTTCCCTATAAGTAAATAAAAGTATTAGGGGATGGAGCAATTGGACTTGATAATTTGAAGTTCTTAGACTCTTCACCAATATCCCGGCTGATTTGGCAGAAGAATTGCAGTAGGTCCAGAAGCAAGAAAGCATCATCTGGTGACAGCAATGGTGGTAGAGGCCCAGTGACCACTGGATACTGTGGCAGCGGAAGTCGCTGATCCTTGGAAGCAGGAGGAGCCATAACAACACAGAAAATGCAAAGTGGCCTTGACAGCTTCAGAGCTGAAGCTTAAAGAATGAAAGCAGAGAACAGAAGCAGAGGCACATCGGCAACAATTGCAGCAGGAGACAACAGCAGACAATAGAGGAGACGGTGGCAATGGTGACCGCAACCTGGGAAATGAAAACATCAGAAGCAGCAACCACTGCCTTAAGAGCCAAGGGTTTCGATACCTTAGCCTGGGAGCTAGAGCATAGGTGTTGTCAAAGTCTAGAGGCTCACAACTTCACAGATAGACACAGGAGCTGTTAGCATTCAACATCATTGGATTAAAGGTTCAATACCAGAAGCCTTCATAAGAACCCCAGAGGTGGCACTGCTGTGGCTCCTAGTTCTCTGTTGCTACCATTCACTTAGGAAGAAAAGGGCTATGAAGACATAAAGGATCAGTTGGTAATACACTGTCTCTGCGAGTTATTTGGGGCTGATGCAGCTCTGGGACCAGGCTGGTGAGAAAGTGCTCATAACACCACTCCCTGTCAGTAGAGATGCAGAGACTTCATTTAGAATCAAGGTACCTTGCTTCCAGGAAAGGAAGGACAGGAAGGGGAGAGAAAAGGAGGAAAGGAGCAGGACAAGGAAGAGTGGGTGACGAGGGGCTAAGGATGGAGGGAGGGTTGGGTAAGTGGGGAATGTACGGATAGGTGGCTGGGAGGTTCAGTAGCTTAGCTCATTGCAGCCCTCTGGCAGTCTCAAACCTCTCTCTAGCTGAGCATCTCCACTTGACATTCTAGCACAGCTTCTCTGCCTTGTGAGTCAGAACTCTGTAACTATGTGGAATCCACACTGAGGAACTCCCTTCAGGATTTCAGGGCAGGTGTTTGCACACTTCTCTGCAATTCTGTTCAGGGGATCTCGGAGATATAGGGCCCCATATTAGAAGCTCAGACACAGGTACACAGTCAGGAAGGAGGAGGTTTCTGGTGTAGTGGGATATTCACTTTGTCTCCTTCTGTGGCACTGACCACGCCCATTGGGGGTGGAGCCAGGGATGGAAGTGACCTGTGGAAGGAGGTCTGAGGAGGAGCCCAGGGACGCTATCTTGCTGGTGGGTTGTGGAGAGGAGAGCATCCAGTGGAACTTGCTGGTGTTCATCTGTCTAGGTTGTAAGTTATTTCTCCCTGAATAAACATCTATTCGGCCTATTTGTTTATCCTGATGCTTATTTAACTGCAATACTCTGGAGACATGGAATGATGTTACCCTCATCATGCCACCAGAGAGGAACAGAGATACCAAGTTATTTGCTCTAGTCTCCCAACTTCAATGTATATCTATCCTGGGTGATGTCAGGGTATGAGAGGGCCCCTGAAGTTGTAGCCATAGAAGCAGTAGAGTCTAAGAACAAGGCAGTTTTCAAATTCTCTCACTTAGTTTTTTAAACTGTGCTGTGGACTCTGTTCTCAATCTGTGAGTATCCCCCTGTGTTATCCATCCTTTCCAGGACCCCTCTATTTTCAAAATACTGGAATTGGGTCTTAAGCCATGCTTTACATTGATTCAAAGCGGTTTGTAGTTGGTGCACAGAGGAGTATTCTGTTGCTACAATGAACTCCAGAACCATCAGTCAGCAATAAGCATGACTTCAATTGTCCTTGACCATCAGTCAACCCTGATTACACTACTGTATACAAAGTAAACATCATTCTGCCAAATGAAGAGACATTTTGTGTTCAATATTTGTCATCTCTTTTGTTCTCCATTTTAAATTTCCTATGGGTCTCTTTGTGTCCTGGAAAGCATTGTTTTGACTTTCATTAACTCCACAAAAAGAATATAGAGGGTCGCTTCTGATATTACCCTACCTGGTGTGGCCTTCCTAGTTCTCTACTGTCTGGCTCTATATTGTTCCATGGGAAACTAGTACTCTGTAGTGTTGTGTTCCCTCTGTCACAGTTCCCCAGTATACTTCCCAGGAATTGATTTTTTTCTACACTTCTACTATTATGAAAGTGCTGTGGCTATGTTCGTGGGGACATGTATAAGGGGTCAGGACCCCTTTCTGTGGCCTAGAGTCACTAAATCTGTGCCCCACAATTCATCCTCACATAGATAAACCATCAACTGTCTCAGGCCACTCACCCTACTGATAGCACCACCGAATCTGTCTTCTGGGCCAGGCAGCTGCACAGGTTGTGGTAACTGTCTGTAAGAGGAACCCAGGTGTTAGGCAGTGTGACAAGAGCCCAGCACTTCTCAATTCAGTCACAGAAATAGCAGCTGTCATGGTAGACATGGTGACAAGGTCTTCACTATGTCCCTATTCTTGATTCCTCTGAGGTGATCTTGCCAGCTCTATCTGAATATCAAGATTTGGTTGGAACTATTATGGTTCATTTTCTATAGCATTGAATTTTATACAGTATGGATAAACTAGGGACTTAGAATGATTTGGTTAATCTGAAATAGACATCATTAAGGGTACATGTGTTTGCAGAGCCAGTCATGGAGTGCTGATAGGCTCATATATTTGCATTCATGATGAGGTTAACAATGACCAGATGAGATGTTTATACTAGCAGATGGTTCCATTAAGATTAGTGAATAGCTGATCATGGTCCAGAGACGTAGAATCTGTGTGATGTTGGGATGTATAAGTCTAGACATCTGCCCTGGTATGAATTTAGATATAAAGCTCATCTATTTCTTTTTATTTGTTTAGATTGCATCAGAGCTTTCTAAAAATGTTGCATTAATATGCAATATTACTTGTTTTGATGAGTGAGTTTCTGGAACCCTGTGTTTGGACCCTGAGGCCCAGGCTTCACTCACCTCACCCAGGCCCCAAAATTATTTCACAATACTTTTCCCCGGCTCAGAACTGTCTCCTCCCATCCTGTGGTCTAGACCTAAAATTTCACCATCTTGGAAAGATTGTCTGATTAGAAAAACCAAAGTGCTGTGACTCTGAATCACTCTCTGTTCCATCCCTGTGTTACCCACATCTGAAACCACCTCCTCATTTGTGTTCTCCCATGTGGTCTGGATTCCTCCTATGACGTACAGACTCCTAAGTTCTTTCTTGCCTTCCAGTGTGTCCCCCTATGCCTGGAGAGGGCCTGGGATTAAATGGATATTCAGTAAATATCTGCTGAGCCATTCCTGCTTACGATTTGGAGATATCATTATCCTGCAGCAGCAGATGACAGCTTGGGGAAGAAGGTCTTAGACGCTTATTACAATGAAGAGTGGACAATAACAGTGAAGCTCTGGATAAGGGTGGGTACCACAGGCAAGATACACTCATAGTTAACTTATGAATGAGAGAACACATCTTGGTAACATCTTCAGAACTGCTAAGGCAATCTCAATCACCAGAAGGTAGTAAGTAACCCTCATCCCAGGAGTGATGTCTTGTGAGTCTGATCAAGCACTAAGTACAGAAGAACAAGTGAGCAGCCCAAGATGCCTGCTGTGTTGAGAAGCTCACAGGCTTAAGCACAGTAAGCATAAGGGGAGACACAAGAAGCTCGGTAGGAGATGTGGTCAATGATTTGGGGGAGGCTGAAGTGCACTAATGACAGGCTTAGGTCCTTCTGGCAGGAAGAGATGGTTAAGCTGAAGGATGACAATTATATCAAGGAAGCAACTTGTGGATGCAGAGATGACGTAGTGATCAAGAATGGGTGGGGTTTTTTTTTAACAGAGTGATCTAGCTGAGCTGGGGGAAGCACATGGACTTGGGGTCTTTATGGTACAGATAAGACTAGCCAGTGCTGTGAGTGGGAAGGAAAGGAAGGTGTCACACTCATTACTCACTTCTGGGAGAGTCCCAGTAGACACTGCTGCTTGGACATGGACTAAGACTAATATCTTATATAGGAAACATTGCTATGAAGATTTCAACCCCACTGAATATTTTAATTTCCAAGGCCCCCAATCCACTCTCCCTCCCCCCACAAAAACCTTTCCAACTTCTACTTTCTTTGCTTCCTCTCCCACCCGACATGGAAGGTACTCACCCAGGCTACCACATATGGCTCCCCCTCCATGGCAGAAAATTATGCCTCGTCGGAGTTTGGAGGGCACTGCCTTGGGCTGGAAGAGTCTCACAGGAATTGTCCCAAAGTGCATGTTTGTCACCATCAAATTATGGTTCTTCTTTATGACTATTAAATCATGAAAAATCTGGATGAACCTGGGCATGGAGCAAATCCTCAGCTTCTCTAATATATTTCCCTGTAGGAGCGAAAAAGTAGAAGAAGGAGAATATGAAAAATATGATGATGATGATGACGATGATGATAATGATGATGGAGGAGGAGGGGGAAGAGGAGGAGGGGAAAGGGAGGAGTGAGGCTTAGGTAGCCATGTTGGCATTGCCACTACTTAGCATTACTAAAATGAGTTCATCATTTCTGTCCCGACTTCTGTTCACACAAGAGGCTCATGTATCTATAACTGGCTGTGGATTCTGCTTAAGGAGAATGTGGGTTTTCAGACTTTCTTCCCAAAACATTAAGATTAGATAATGATATAGTTGCGATTTGATTTTTTGTCTCAACCAAAATTCATGTTGAAATTTTATTGTCACTGTTGAAATGTTTTCTTTTTTCATCATACAAATAAATAGGTCAGTGGAAAAGAGCAGAAGACCCAAACATAACCCCACATGGTCACAGCTATCCAATTTCCAACAACGGTGATAAAAAAGAGAGACAAAGAAGACAAATGGCTCTGGGAAAATTGAATATCACCCACGTTGATGAATGGTCCTAGATCCTGATCTCACTGATCAATCAGTGCCAAATTGATCAAAGACAGTGTTGTAGGACCTGGAACTCTGGAAATAGTAGGAGAAACTGGGAGAAGCAATTCAAGATATGGTGTAGGTAAAGACTTCTTGCATAGTACTCCAGTCTCTCTGGAAATAAAACCAACTAATGATAAGATAAATGGGTAGTCAAGAAATTGAAAGGATCCCAAACACAAAGAAAAGTTTTAATTGAGTGAAGACAACCTATAGAATGGAAAATGAAAGTCTTTGCTGGTGATGACTCAGATGAAAGACTAAATATCTAGTGTATGTGTATGTGTACATATGTAGTGAGATATTCACTTTGTCCATACCTATGACACTGACCACGCCCATTGGGGGGTGGAGACAGGGGCTGATGTTACCAGGGCATAATAGGTCTGAAGAGGGGCCCCAGGAGCACTCTTTTGCTTGCAGCATAGGGACAGGAGAGCATCTGGAGGCATCCTTGGGACCAGGAACCTGTTGGTGTTCATCTGTCTATGTTGTAAGCTATTTCTCCCTGAATAAAGATCTATTTAGCCTATTTGTTTCTCCTGATCCTTATTAAACCATAATATGTATGTGTGTATATGTGTGTACATGTATGTGTGTACATACACATATATATGTGTACATACACAGATATCACTCCAAAAAACTAAAAAAATAAGAGATAAAACAACCCAGTCGGTAAGTGGGCTGATAAAATGAACAGTTCACAAAAGAGAAGGTACAAATGGCCAATAAACACATTCTCCTATTTTCTTTCTTGTTCTGCAACCTAGGGGAAAGAAGGTTTTATTTGGCTTACAGGTTACTGTTCATCATCAAGGGAAGCCAAGCCAGGAACTCAAGACATGTAGCTGGAGGCAGGGATTGAAACAGAAACCATGGAGGAAAACTGCTTACTGCCCCCCCCCATTGCTTGCTCAGCTACCTACTCAGGGATGGTCACACCCCAGTGGACTGGGTCATTTCACGTTTCTTAAAATACACGTCTTTGGTACTGGACCACCATGGGAAATTTTATAATATCAAAAAATAAAAGAAATGCTTTGACTCCAAAATTTAAGTTGAAGGACAAGTTACTGGGGAAAAGGATTTCTATTTTTGTTTCCACAGAAAATGAAAAGATGTGGATTCCTTCCAGACTAATGTGGTTTGATCACGCCAGACCACCTGAACAGAGTACAAGCTAATCCTACATTCAAAACAGCTGGACAAAACAGCCCTACAGACTACAGCCAGGATATCTGAATCTTCTTCGAATCCCCCCAAGACAGCGCCCCTTACCAGCAGGAAGTAGTTTAGAAAGAATGACGCCCAAATTCCCAAATATCGTGTATAAATGTTTGTTTTCATTTAATTGGACTTTGTTATATAAAATTAAATAAAGTAAAAAAAAATTAAAGAAATAAATTTATTTAAAAACATCTGTCTTTCAAGTGGTGATTAGATGGTGTCCACATGTATAGATGAAGGCCATGGTGGATGGAGCTAGAGAGTTACTTCAGGAAGAGGCTCCTAGGAGGTGAGTTCTTGGTTGAGAATATAGAAAGAGTTTGTGTCTGGAACAAAACCCATTAAATAATCAGAGTGTTACAGTTTTGTATGGACTTGGTTTCCCCAAGATAGATTTCACATTTCCCACATAGCTAGGTGTGATGCTCTAGAAGGGAAACACTACAGGTTGGGAAGAGTATGGCGTTTCTGCATAACTGTGCTATCCGAGGCCCTCATTTGCCATTTCAGGACTCTCAACTATCCTGTAATCCCATGTAGTAATTCCTTGGGCTTGAAACAACTTGACCTTTAGGGAAGTACTTGCAGATAAAAATGAATAAGGGGTTGAGGTCAGAAGCTTTCAATAATTGTATTGAACAAGGCTTGCTTATTCTGCTAGGTATGGTCCATTGAGGACAGCACAGGAACATACTACTGTTTTTTAATGTCACGTATTATTCCTTATCATATGCCAAATATTCCCTGCCATGAAGATGAAGACTCTGGTGTGCACAAAAGATAAGCCAAGGGCTTTCACAACCAGTGCGAGAAAAACAGAGAAGCTCATCGGGCAGCCTGGCTGTAGCTGCTTCTCACTCCTCTCCTACCCTGCTTTGTAGCTGCCCTTTGACATAAACACTTTTGAACTGTCTGGCTTCTACAGACCTTCAGCCAAAGTTGGGACATCAAGTTCATTCAAACTGCCTTCTTCCCACACAGGCCAAACTTTTCCTTCTGGATCTACTGTATCTGTGGGCATGCCCTTGTCCTTGTCCCCAACCAGCAAGAAAGGTAAATTGAGAGTCCAGCCACCCACTACAGCCATGCCAAAAGGCTGAATAAATGCATCATCACACTTTTGATCAGCAAAGAGCACCTGCCCTCTGATCGGAACTATGCTAAGAAATAGTCTACAGCTTCAAGGTTCACAACTATGCAACAAAACACCTATAAGCAAGTAAAAGGGAGGGCTGCTGCTGAAGGAGGCATCAGATCTCTTAGGCCATGGATCTATCACAAATAGAACCTGGGTGTGAACTTATTTTTCAGTCCTCAGCAAAGAATCTGGTAGATGAATAGTGATCCCTGCTTCCAATCCCAGCCAGCCCACAAGAGGTGGGAGCCAAAGAATAACCACTACCAAATCATGAGACCCTTATCTCAAAAAATTAAAAAGAAGAGCTGGGGGGGTATAGCTAAGTGCAGAGAGTGCTGACCTAGCATGCATGAAGTCCTGGTTTGAGCCTCAGAACGGCATAAACCAAGCATGATAGTGTACACCACTGACCACAGCACTTGGCTTGGGGTCGGGGGTGGGGACAGTGGGTCAATGGGAGCCTCAGACCTTTGCTTCATAGTGAATTCAAGGCCGTCCCAAGTTCAAGGAAGATACTGTCTTTTTTTTTTTTTTAAGTAAGAACACAGGCAAGAGGCAGGCAGGAAGGGAGATAAAGAGAAAAAGGAAGAGAAGGGAAGAGGGCGAGATAGAGACAAGCACAATGTTTCTTCATTTCTAAGATACAACAATGTAGTTACTTCAGTCATGGGGGAATGTAGGGAGGGGCTAATAAAAGAAGAAAGGCAAGGCACACAGATGAACCCTGTTTTTTATATAAATCTATATTTTATGATTTTACCAATAAAGACTCGGGAGTCAGAGGCTAGGGTGAAAATCTGCTCTCTCAGAGAGGTCGAGGAGCAACTATCTGACCTCCCTCCTTTCCCAGAATCTCAGAAATAGAGTTATTTTTCATCATTACAATCCAAAAGGGACCACCAACTCTAAGCCCTCTCTTCTACTTCCTGTGTATTTTTCTACCCATCTTCTGGACTCCCTCTTTAATCTTTATGGCTACTTCCTGTCAACCAGTTGCTGGCTGGACCTCTTGGCCTTAGGTTTTTGTTCAGTTAATGCAATCTCAGGGTTCACAGTGTGATCAAATATCCCACAACAGAACCCTGAAAAGTGTGGTTCCCCCAAGAATAGACTCACCATAGCAATAACGTACAGCATCACACAATGTAGAAACCTGAACTTGACTGGATGCTGCAAGGAAGAGGGGATTTTCACATTGAGAAAGTGCTGAACAACAGCCCATATGAAGACTCCCAGGTTAAAGGTAGACAGGCTTACTAGCAGCAACAGCCACAGGACAGTCATGGTCCCAAGGCCCCAAGAAACTTCTGTCTGAGGCCTTGAGAGGCTGCTGTCCCAAAGGTCTTCCTTGGGAACAACTGGCTCAATTTTATAGCCTACCACCCCCACTAGCTCCTTTCAGACCACACCTCACTCAGTGGCCTGATCCAGCTTCTGGGATATCCACACAGGTCAAAAGGATCCAGAGGAACCTGCTTCCCAAGGAGCAAAGGGATCAAGAGAGCCAACCTGAAAGACAGGATTAGAAAAAAGGAATTAGACTGGATGAGAACTGTCATGGCATCTATCTGTTGAGGCACCAAGGGAGAGGTCTTACATGAGTATAGACCCCCACTATGGCCTGACCCTTCACTGAGTACCAGAAGACATACACCCCTTCTGCACCAGTTTGGTTAAAGCATATGAAGTCATCCAGTTTGTAAATACTTGCTAAACTGCCATCGGAGTTCAGGCTTTTCTCATTTTTGACTATCTCGCCTTGGATGGGTTCTCTGCTTTCTGAATGCCAAGGATGGAGGAGCCCAGATGGGAGAACTGTTTCTAGGCCAAGTTTAGGTGTGGCTGCAGGTACCAGGGATGCTGAGACTTGAGCAGCAATGGATAGTTTTGTACTGGCTACATATTCCAAGTCTAGGGAAAATTTGATACAAAAAGCACATAGACTATTATTTCCATGTGTTTGCTTAATTGTTATTTAAAAGCATATAACAGGGCTGACACAGTGAATTAAAGCATTTGCCTTCAGGCATAATAATCTGGGTTCAATCCCCAGAATCTATATGATGGAGGGATAAAATTCTACTGCCACACATTGTCATGTGAACCTCCAACACACATAACAGTCGTGTGCCTATGCACATGCGTGCATACACAAAATATAAGTAAATTAACATAACAAAGATTTAAGCACATAACACAAAATTTACTGTCAGAGCTATTCCTAAGTATACAGTACAGCAGAGTTAACTAGATGTGTCACATATAGCAGACATCTTACAACAAAGAATTTGCATCCTTAGACTCCCCCTCTTCCCAATGCCCAGACAACCACAATTCTACTCTGTAAAATCTGCCTACCTTGGATACCTTCATAGATGGGCCTATGCAATGTTTCACTTTTTGTAATGACCTTAGTCCAATTAACATATTGTTCTCAACTTTGCCAATATTGCAGTGGACAACAAGACTTTTTTTTTTGTTTTAAAATAATAGTCCACTACATATATGTGTTACATCTCCTTTATTGTTTTTTTTTATTTCTGTGGGTAGTTGGGATGAACACTAGGCCTTTGAACATATGAGGTGAAGGCTCACCTCCTGAACAACATTCCAGGCCTATGTTTTCTTTATCCATTTATCCACAGAGAGACACATGTATGTTGCCTCTACCTTTTTGCTATGATGCACAATGTTATTACAGACTCATGTACATGCAGATAGTCACTCATTTTAAGACATTTTTATTTGTGTATAATACATTTGAAAGCATAAGCTGATGTGTAAATTAGACAGAAAATCATAAACACTAAGCCAGAGGAATCTTCGTAAAATGAATTCTCTCAGAAATGATGATACTTTCTATACTGTCTTTCTTTTTTGATTGATTTTTATTTAAATTAAAAACAATCTTATTTTACATACCAACCTCAGTTCCCTCTTCCTCCCCTCCTCCCATGCCCCCCACCAATTCCCCATCCTACCCCACACATCCACTCCTCAGAAAGGGTGAGGCCTCCCGTGGGGGATCATCAAAGTCTGTCGCACCATTTGGGGCAGGGCCTAGCCCCTCTCCTGTGTATCTAGGCTGGGAGAGTATCCCTCCATAGGGAATGGGCTCCAAAAGCCCATTTGTACACTAGGGATAAATATTGGTTCCACTGCCAGAGGCCCCATAGACTGCCCAGGACCCCCAACTGACAATAACGTTCAGGGGGCCTGGGTCGGTCTTGTGCTGGTTCCCCTGCTATCAGAATGGGGTCTGTGAATTCTCACTTGCTTAGGTCAGCTGTTTCAGTGGGTTTCCCCAGCATGGTCTTGACTCCTTTGGTCATTACTCCTTTCTCTCTACAATTGAATTCCAGGAGTTCAGTTCAGTGCTTAGATGTGGGTCTCTGTTTCTGCTTCCAGAAGCTACTGGGTGACTCTGTGATGGCATTTAAGGTAGTCATCAATCTCATTATAGGGGAAGGGCATTTAAGGTAGCCTCTCCATTCTTAGTTGGGGTCATCTTTGTGGATCCCTGGAGACTTCCCTAGTGCCAGATTTCTCATTAAGCCCACAGTGGCTCCCTGTATTAAGGTATCTCTTTCTTTGCTCTCCTTCTCTGTTCTTCCCCCAACTGGACCTTCCTGATCCCTCATGTTCTCCACCCTGTCCCTTCTGCCCTCATCTTTCTCCTCTCTCCCTTCCCCTCTCCCCATTTACTCAGGAGATCTTGTTCCTTTCCTCTTCTCAGGGGGTTCATGTATGTCTCTTTTTGGGTCCTCCTTGTTTCTTAACTTCTCTGGGGTTGTTGATTGTAGGCTGATTATCCTTTACTCTATGTCTAACATCCACTTATGAGTGAGTAAATATCATGTTTTCCTTTTTTTGGTCTATGTTACCTCACTCAGGATGGTTTCTTCTAGTTCTATCTATTTGCCTGCAAATTTCAAGATGTCATTGTTTTTCTCCACTGAGTAGTACTCCATTGTGTAAATGTACCACATTTTCTTTTTTCTTTAAATTAGAAATAGTCTCATTCCACATATTAATCCCAGTTTCCTCTCTCCACACCGATCCCCCTTTTCGCCCCCCCATCCACTCCCCCAGGGAGGGTGAGGCCTTCCATGTGAAATCATCAAAGTCTGTCACATAATTTGGGGCAGGTCCTAGGCCCTCCTTCATGTATCTAAGCTGAGAGAGTATCCCTCCATGGAGAATGGGCCCCCAAAGTCCATTTGTATACTAGGGATAAATACTGATGTACCACATTTTCTTTATCCATTCTTCAGATGAAGGGCATCTAGGTTGCTTCCATGTTCTGGCTATTACAAATAATGCTGCTATGAATATAGTTGAACAGTTGTCCTTGTGGTAAGAATGTGCATCCTTTGGGTATATGCCTAAGAATGGGTTTGCTGGATGTTGAGGTAGACTGATTCCCATTTTCCCGAGAAACTGCCATACTGATTTTGATTTTAGACATTCTGACAGGTGTAAAGGTATCAGTCCTCAATATTTATAGGGACCTCAACACATCCAGTACACCAACAGGATCTCATTTATCCACCAATCACAGGTGAGATAGCTGTTCCAAGAAAAGCTATGGTTGCCCAGGAGAGCATCTGCAGATTCATAACTTGAGTTTTGTGGGCAGTAGTGGGGGTTGTGGCTGTTACAGACTCATCTAACATTTACCTACCAAAACCTCTATGATGGGCACTCGCAGCATGTAGTGAAGGTGTCCCCTGACCATTACCTGTGAACATTAAAGAGGAATTGGCTAAGCAAAAACAAGGACCTTTGTAATACTGGCAATTATTGTGGAATATTACTTCAACTATATAAATGTGTGTTACATTTGTTTATGTTTGAGAATATTAGGTTAACTACGTAAGGGTCTGTTACATTTGTTTATTTAACTAGGGAATGATATGTTATATTTGGTTATGCTGTATTTGTTTAACTATGTAAAAATGTGTTGCTGTTTCATCTTGCCTACCTAAGACACCAGATGCTCTCTCTCTCTCTCTCTCTCTCTCTCTCTCTCTCTCTCTCTCTCTCTAAGTCAGTATTAACAAGTTCTCTAAGGCTTAAAATCTTTTCATCACCACTTTCTGTAGGGCCTGGACTTCCTGGACAGTGACTAATTCCAGCAATTTCATTACTTCAGTCAGTTTCTTGTTTTTTCATTATTCACATATGACTCTAATGAACTCTAATGATTTAATTTTATCCATTCCTAATACCTTCTCATCCTTAGGGATTATCTGAATAGAATGAAGATTGTCTTACAAAAGCAATGTTCTACCTGCTAATTTTTCTTTTTTAAAAATTTTTTTTTAAAAATTTATCTATTATGTATATAGTGTTCTGCCTACATGTATGCCTACACTCCAGAAGAGGGCACCAGATCTCATCATAGATGGTTGTGAGCTGGGAATTGAACTCAGGACCTCTGGAAGAGTGGCCAGTACTCTTAACCTCTAAGTCATCTCTCAACCTCTACCTGCTAATTTTTCATAACTGTTTGATATGAAATGAATTTTTGTCTGCCAATAAATCATTTTCATGTTCTATGTAGTGAATTTTGCATGTCAATTTATCATTATTGTTTTCAATGGAATGAATCCTTTTGGCTAATCTCTCATTATCAGTTTGTAAAGTTTTTATCACATCAATAAGCTTCTCATTCTTGGCACTGTTATCAAATAATTGTTAAGGATGTCATATGAATTACCAGACTAATAGAAGCTATAGCAAAGAATGGATATGTCCCAGGTAGGTTGTATATCTCATGGATACACAGCAAGGTAGATAGCCATTGTGGTCTTTTGTTCTGCCCCAGGGGTGAATAGAACCAGCATTCCAATCTCTGACCACCACATGAGAAAGAGAGAGAGACTGTCCCCCACTTTCCTTTAAAGGTGGGATGGTGAATACCCACTACAACATACAGAATGAGAGAAAGGTAAAAAGCCTTGAGGCAAAACATAGATTGAAGGGAAACAGACTAATTTTAGTTATATGTGCTAGTGGGACAAGCCTAAGACAAGGACAAGCATTTATAACTAATAATAAGTCTCATGTCATGAGTTGGGAGCTGGTTGGTAGGTAGTCCAAAGAAAGACTGGTACACACAGTGGCATCTAAGATCTTCATCTTACTCCCTTAGAAAATGTACTTTCCGTGCCTAGGTGGTCTCCAGAGCTGTCCTCATTGCCTTGGTTCCAAGAACCTACTTCTTGGGGGAGAGAGAGAGAGAGAGAGAGAGAGAGAGAGAGAGAGAGAGAGAGAGCTGC